ATTCAACCCACGTGTTGGCAGCGCCTGTGGGCGTCATTCCCTTATCTAACACCCCGGCGTGCATTGACGTGCACAGTACTGCACACAACATGCACAGAAATGCACTCTTTATCAACATTAATTTCAGGTGAACAAATTTAATTTAATTTACTTATCTAATACCCTATAACGCTCTCAAATATTTTGATAGTTTAAAAATTTGTTTTTCTGCACTGCAATAACAGAAGGTTTTTGGCAAGTAGCGTGTAGGCATACTTATCAATGGCCCTTGAGTGTCTAACGTAACTGAAAGATTGTTAACGCGCGGAGTTAAACCATTCCAACCGGAATTCTTTAAACTTTATATTATAAGTAAATGAATTTACTCCATAGGCCCCTGTTTATGCCACTACTTATCCAGGAGACCGCCTCCGTGGTCTAGTGGAAGAGCGTCCGCCCGGAGAGCGGAAGGTCCGGGGTTCGATCCCCGGCCGCGTCATACCGAAATACGTTAAAAGATGGTACTTGTTGTTACCCTGTCTGGCGCTCTGCATTAAGAGGCTAAAACAAGGATTGGTCGGCTCGGAGTCAGTATACTGTGTCTGAGTGGGGTATTCATGTTAAACTGCGGCATGGTGTCTCTATACATCGGCACCAGTCCGAACTAGTAGCAGCAGCCACACACACACACACATGTGCATGCTATATAAGTGCAATATTCTTTGACGCGACGTTAAACCCCACCTCACCTCACCTCACCTCACCTCACCTTATCCAGGAAGCAAACATGTATCGGACACAGGAACTTAGCGGATATACATGTAGATGGAACCATTCTGTCGCATGCAGTCGCCCGCATGCTAATATACGACTCCACTTTTGATAGAGGTATTTTTGTACCTTTCAATGATACACAAAAACTGATTCCCATAATACGTTAATTTTTTTTTATAATTCGGACATAATTAATTATGCCTATCACAATGTCGGCATCAAAAGTTTAGATATTAGTGAAGCGCTCCTAAAATATCAACAATTTGTCGCAAAGCGGTGAGATCTTGGTGGTAATGTGAGGAAAGGGCTTCACAAGCTGTGGCCAAACACACGCCGTCTTCAGCAGCCTCAGATGAGATAGAACACTTTATCATCCAGCTATTTGTTTGCTTCTTTGTTGTGTAACTCCGCACTCAGCGATATTCCAGCTATATGGCAAGCATGGGTCGCTGAAGACCTATTCTACCCCGATATCTTCCAGTATATATATATATACATTTTAATATTATTATCTAAAGGTTCATTGGCTACTTGGAAGTCAAGTCAAAGGTCTCCAAGACAAGGAGTGAGGTTTGTTATGCTACCCGCCCACTTTCGCGATGATGACCGCAATATATATTATGTGTGAATTATATGTTACAGTATGTAAAATCGTGCACACGACACTAGCTAGATACAGCACGTGCACACCACGAGCTAACTATGAATATAACACGAGTTTAGTACATGCCATTACGAAATCTTACCGATGTTGACACGAGAAAAACAAGTTTCGTTTGTTTGTTTGTTGTTTAACGCCGCACTCAGCAATATTCCAGCTATATCACAGCGGTCTGTGAATAATGAAATCTGAACCAGACAATCCAAAGATTGACATCATGAGCATCGATCCACACAATTGGGATACGATGACATGTATGAACCAGGTCAGCGAGCCTGACCACCCTATCCCGATAAAAATAGTCGCCTTTTACGACAAGCATGGGTCGACTAGTTTCGTATGTGTTTCGTACGAGTTAGTTACGAGCTTACTTCGACATAATCTCTGCGAGTTTATCACGATGTCCCAAGTCGACGCGATTCACTGTGCAGAGTTGCGTCCCTTGGGCACGCCAGAAACATATGATTGTGGGTTCGAATTCCGATTCGCCCCGATTATGTTTCTAGGTTTGTCAGCACCATATCCTTGCTCGTGGGTTTCACCGAAGTGGTAAACTTCTGAGACCTGCATCACCTCGGGCTTTTCTCCCACATTAAGCTGACACGCCGTGATATAACTGGAATACTGTTAAAAGCGGCGTTAAACCCAACTCACTCACTCATTATCACGATATAAAACTACAACCGGAATAGGACCGAATTTTGGCGTTTTATTGGTATTCGCAGCATGAAGAACACAGTGCTTATCGCAGCAACATGGCACACCAGCAGCTGACTGTTGATTTCCTTCACACACCGTGTGTGTTGGAGGCCGACGCTGCGGTCAAGTCCAGCCAAGGTTTGGGTGAGGACTTGGCTTCTACGACACCTCGCTGCGGGAGCTGGGACGAGAGGGCACTAGTTTCAAACTGTTGGTTATGTAGAAAAAATACCTGGCGACTACGCATTAAAAAGTATATTGATAAGTTCTCCATTCAAAATTTGAAACTGAACTAATAAACATTCTGGAATGTCTTATAGATGGCCTAGATTGTATTCCCATGGGCCAGGCAATGTCTCTTCTCTGTTTTTGATTGATTTAGTCCAGTTCGGAATACCTGTGCTAAATTGTTCAAGGTTGTATGATCAGAAAACATATTACGACTTGTCACTTTCCTGATCTGGTCAGCGACACTGATTGATGGGGTGAAAGGTCGTTCTGAAATGATCCGTAATGGGATGTCCTCAGATCTTTGTTTTGTGGCAGCCAGAACAAAGATCTGATTTTTATGAGAGTGTAGAGAATCCTGTTACAACCAAGGGAGGCAACTCTGTATGGTGAGATGCAATGCTGTAGACAACTTCTGGCCCACCATGCAAGGTGTGTGTGTGTGTCTATGTGCAGCTCCAGTGCGTGTGTGTCAGTATCTCCAGTCAATGTCTGGTTGCACGGGGCTTGTAGTTAGTGAAGTAGATTCCCTTTTGTTGACACATATAAAATATTACAGAATAAACAGCGATAATAAACCATTTATTCATGATAGACAAAAAATAAAAAATATTAAATATAATAAAACAATAAAAGACAAAAACATCTTGGAGCAAAATAAAGAAAATATAAATCTCATGAGCAAAAAGGTTGAATTAATGTATGGTAAATGCTGGAGGCCGCACCACTAGGTACAGCATTGACTAGACTATCCAGTGAATGTGTTAATGTCAGTCTGCACATCCAAACAACTAAAACAGATCTATCAAACAAATGACTTAGAGCTTAAGTCTGTCTCTGTTAATTCATCCCATTACAGTGAGTTATAAGATAAAAACGTTTGTTAGAAGAATGACTGTAATTTTAAAATGTTGTACCACATCCATAGATGTTAGTTCCTGCAGAACAGTTGGAACAGATCAATACTAACTAGATACTGACGATTGTTATATTCAATATTATTTTGACGATTGTTATATTCAATATTATTTAATCAATGTATTATTCAATGTTATTTAATTAATGTAATATTCAATGTTATTTAATGTTATGTTCAATGTTAATTATTGTCATATTCAGTGTTATAAAAGTTTAGATTGAATGTTATTTAACTTACTTTCAATGTTATTTAATTTTATATTCAACTTTATTAAATATTTTCAATGTTAGTAAATGTTATTTCAAAGTTATCTAATGCTATTTTCAAAGTTATTGAAGGTTATATTCAATGTTATTTAATGTTACGTTCAATGCTATTAAATGTTATTAAATGTTATGTTCAATGTTATTAAATGTTATGTTCAATGTTATTAAATGTTAAGTTCAATATTATTAGATGTTATGTTCAGTGTTATTTAATGTTACATTCAATGTTATTTAAATATTAGTTAACATTACGTTCAATGTTATTAAATGTGTATATGAAACAGGGAGCCTAGTTCTACTTCTCATTTAGGAACATTTCAGCATCACCACTGACTGGAACATCAAACCTGGGTTTTCAACATGAGCAAGAGCTTCAACCACTGGGCTACCAGTCCCTACCATCAAAGAAAAGATGTGACATGTTGCAAGTCAACACTTGATGAATCATGGATGTCTAGATGGGGTTGTGCCAAGAGAAACAAGTGCACTAACATGAATGACTGTGGAACTGTGGAGACACAGGCAACGACCACAACAAATCCAACATAATCACAACCAGGACATAAGCATGTGATCATTGTGACATGTTACAGTATATGCCTGTGTTAAAGTCTACTGATCAGGCATGACAATGCTTTAATAACTAGGTCATCCCACACAGGTATTGCTGGTTGAGGCACACTATGCAGAGTTGCCTCCCTTAGACGTGCCAGGATCCACTGGTCATGGTGTCAAAATCCCAGAGTTGCCCAAATTGTGATGTTGGTCTTAAAAACACAATATTCTGCTTGTGGGCTTGTCCAAACTGTTCAATGTCACCTACCTACCTCCCACATCAATATATCTCAGATTTGTTTCAGACCAACATTTGGTTGACATGTCCTAACAGAACTGAACTACTGTTCAAAGCAGCATTAACCTAGCTCACTCGCTACCCAGATAGTGACTTCTACCCCTGCAATCAGTGTTGCTGTGGTCATATATTCCCTCTACTATAGAACAAAGGTAAAACGTTTCCACTGAACGGACTGCAACTTCTGAGGACACTACAAACGGCCATGGTTTCATGCTCAACAGTGTAACAATAGCTTGCAAATATGACGATGATAATCATATCAAAATATCAACAAGACAAATGTAATCATATATGCAACAGTGATGGAATTAGTATAAAATCTGAAGTCAAAGATGAGAGCAGTTAAAACAGACATCCAAAAAACTGGAAATATAACACGTTACAGTGATCATACCCGTAATGGCGCTAAAAAGATGAAAAAATACAGGAAAAAAATGTTTCACATTGAATATGGTAATGACTAGGGCTGGGATGGGTAACTCGGGTACTCGGGTCTGGGGGGTACTGAGTAGGACCTGGGCACCCACAGGACTACCCGGACCCGTGGTTAGTCACGTGATTATATTGTTTAATGGCAAAAATTATCTAAAACTCTATAGTTACACTAAAAGTGACAAATGTTCACATTTCTCTCCGACTCTGCACACATTCCTTCTGACTTTATATGTTTGCATAAAGATAAAACTTCAGTCAACTTCAGTGTATGCATGGCCAGCTCATTTTAAACCTGTATCTAAATACATGTTGCCAGGAGTACGGTTAAACGTTTCCCAATCAGACATTTTGTACCTATCTCTTGAGACCTACAGCGGGTACCCGGGTAGGGTCGGGTAATAGGGGGTTGGGTACCCGGGTAGTCAATTTGGACTCGTCCCAGCCCTAGTAATGACTAAAACGCTAATATCACAATTGCAATTTAAAACATGAAAATTAATAACAGTGCCTTCAGTGAGTTCACACAATATAACAGGTTCATAAAGTATTCAAGCCATGCAAACAATATGATTTGGGTTTAAAGAAACAGGATCAAAAGAAAACAGCACTTTGTTTGACCATATTTTTCCACTTGTGGAAAGCACAAAACAGAACAGTTCATATACATTTCAATATAAACACGAAGTCAAAATCATCTCCATTTGGTCTTTTAACTGAAGGGATGAACATCGCCTACGAAGTACGACAACAGTAAAAGAGATTTTTCCTCCACAAAACATAAATTATACTACTCAAAACAAGTTAAGGACACACAATTGGAAGGTTGTGTTGCAAGACGCATCAGCCATGACTGATTAATATCTGTCATATGAAAAAAGACAGGTGATCTTTAACCTCTTTTGAGTAGTATACTTCAAATACCTACACTACTCGACCTTCCATAGGGATACTGACATCTTAAAGTAATATCGTTAGCTAATTGTGTTATTTTATTTCCTGAAATGTGGAATAAAGGGTTATCCCAATGGAGAGTTTAGTAACACAGAAACAGCAGATTTTGCATATATCAGGATCATCCAAGTCTATATTGACTTCTGTATCCAAGTAAATGTGCTAGATCCCTAATGGTAGGATTAGTGACCAGATTGATACTGAACAGTGCAACTGACGTTACAGGAAATGTTTCATAAATACTACTAAATATTAATGTCATGATCTCATTGTCCCGAGACAAAATGTATTTTGAACTGTTGTCAGATTTGCGGGTGTTAATGAGTATTTGACACAAGGCTTGAGTTTCATTTGGAGTCGACCAGTGTAACCTGGAGGTTTCAAACGTAAAAATTGCATCGAACACTCAAGAATACCCACAAACCTAAAACAAATGTCCTGAGTTTTGATACTGAGCTACAAAGTTACTGGTCATTGTCCCTAGCCCTCTCTGGTGTACTCCAACAGCTATGAGACATCATCTGTACCCAGAAATGATCCTTCATTACCAAACACCAGGGATCTCTTGTTGTTTGATCAAAGAATTATATGTTTCAACACACAAAACAGTAAACTGGTATACAGCTATAGGGCCAAGATTCCTTGCTTTCTGTGATGGTCGCCTGGACTTCGAGTTAACATGGTTTTTTAGTCGGTATTTTTATAAAGAACACAGATGAATTGTAAATAAGTGTACAAGACTTCTGAAACCATTTTCAGTCCACTTACTGCATGTTTGCTGCACGTGTCTGCCCTTTGATGATGGCATCTACAAAGACATGTGTTTAATATCTGATGACAACCTAACAACGGTGACATTGAAACACAACAGAGAGTATGATACAGCCCTAGAGTTGCCTGGTGCACGACTACAAGACCGTCATGGGTCTCAGTTCGGATGGACATTACCTTTGTCCCAAAGCAACCTTTCTGGTGCACGACTACACGACCGTCATGGATCTCAGTTCTGATGGACATCAACTTTGTCCAAAAGCAACATTTCTGGTGCACGACTACACGACCATCATGGATCTCAGTTCTGATGGACATCAACTTTGTCCAAAAGCAACATTTCTGGTGCACGACTACGAAGACATGACCGTCATGTGTCTCAGTTCTGATGGACATTAACTTTGTCCCAAAGCAACATTTCTGGTCCACGACTACGAAGACATGACCGTCATGTGTCTCAGTTCTGATGGACATTAACTTTGTCCCAAAGCAACATTTCTGGTCCACGACTACGAAGACATGACCGTCATGTGTCTCAGTTCTGATGGACATTAACTTTGTCCCAAAGCAACATTTCTGGTCCACGACTACGAAGACATGACCGTCATGTGTCTCAGTTCTGATGGACAATACCTTTGTCCCAAAGCAACATTTCTGGTCCACGACTACGAAGACATGACCGTCATGTGTCTCAGTTTGGATGGACAATACCTTTGTCCAAACGCAACATTTCTGGTGCACGACTACACGACCGTCATGGGTCTCAGTTCTGATGGACATCAACTTTGTCCAAAAGCAACATTTCTGGTCCACGACTACGAAGACATGACCGTCATGGGTCTCAGTTCTGATGGACATTAACTTTGTCCCAAAGCAACATTTCTGGTGCACGACTACATGACCGTCATGAGTCTCAGTTCTGATGGACATCAACTTTGTCCCAAAGCAACATTTCTGGTGCACGACTACACGACCGTCATGTGTCTCAGTTCTGATGGACATCAACTTTGTCCCAAAGCAACATTTCTGGTGCACGACTACATGACCGTCATGGGTCTCAGTTCTGATGGACATCAACTTTGTCCCAAAGCAACATTTCTGGTCCACGACTACGAAGACATGACCGTCATGGGTCTCAGTTCTGATGGACATCACCTTTGTCCCAAAGCAACATTTCTGGTGCACGACTACACGACCGTCATGTGTCTCAGTTCTGATGGACATCAACTTTGTCCCAAAGCAACATTTCTGGTGCACGACTACATGACCGTCATGAGTCTCAGTTCTTATGTAAATCTGCCCCACTGCAGGGTGTGTCTCGTTTACACTACAACTACACGAGCAGTTTCAGCATCACTTGATACAGTCAGATATTTATATATATATATATGTAAGTCACATGTTAGATATCACAGTATTATAAAGCTACCATGGCACATAAACATTGATATTCCCTCGTAACAGCACATGGTCGTCTTTGGTTATCAAATAAATTGTCTATGACAATCATGTTTTTCTAAAGGAGCTATACTTAAGTCTAACAGCAATATATGACAACATCTCTATATAAAACAGTTAAGAAGCATGGCTGGAATTCAAAAGAGTCTTCCTGCCCAAGAAAAATTGGAATCTTCAGCAATCTTCCACAAAAAAAAACACACCACCGGTTTGTGAATCAATGGTATTTTTGCTTATTTTCATGCATAAAAGAAGTTTTCCAACTAAACTGGGGTATGTATAAAAAAATATTTTCCACTGCTTCAAAAACATGTCCAACTGTTGTAACTTTGGAAATTCTAATACCGGTAATTGAGATACAATTTGTAAAAATCTACATTTACAAATACACTTTACCTGTATTTCTGTAAGGTAACCTTACAATGGTTCAAAGTTCTCACTTTCCTGCAGGGCAGTTTTCACAATTAAGGTCCAATTAAGGGGTCCTCTCAACAGATGTCGTGTACACAACGTTCCTCCCATCTTCCCGAGGCAAGAGAGTTAACTGACTTTAAAAGTCCAGTTTCCACCCTTGCCGAACTAGGCTGGAATTACTGGGCTCGATCGTAGCGCCACCAGTGGCTATTACCAATTATGTCCCTTTTAAGCCTCTCCTACTGACCAATCAGATTCCACCTCTCGTATCACTTGCATTTGCTTCACACAAAATGGTTGTGCCCGGTCAGGACGATCTGATCGATAATCTATATCTATATATTGTGATAAAACAGGTCTTACATCGCGAAATGCATCAAATCATGTGAGCACCTTGATTTAAAACATGAGAAGATTTGGAAAATATCTGCTGACAACGAGTTAGCGGTGCACATGCTTTGCAAATCCTGCAATCGACCGAAATCTGCACGACAGTTTACGAACCGGATTTCAATTTCGGTGAGCAATTTTAATTTGACTATGCATAGACTTGTTAGTCCAGCCAAAATGTAACTCCATAATACCAGCCTAGTTCGGCAAGGGTGAAAACTGGACTTTTTTAGTCAGTTAACTGTCTTGCCTCGGGAAGATGCGTTCCTCCATCCCCGTGAATACATACACATGATTTGCGCTGTTGTTGTGACATGTCTATTTTCAGTTAAGTACTTCATGTGAACCCTATCACTGCCTGAAGCAAAATACTGGGCAAATGGACACAAGGCTATGGCACGTCTCATAAGAAATGAACCTGTTTGTGCAATGAAATCTTCGTGCTCATTGGTCTTGTGGATTGATTGTTTGTTGTTTAACGCCGCACTCAGCAATATTCCAGCTATATGATGGCGGTCTGCAAAATAATTGAGCCTGGACCAGACAATCCAGTAATTGACATCATGAGCATCGATCCACCCAATTGTGATCGATGACATGCATCAACCAAGTCAGCACACCTGACCACCCGATCCCGTTAGTCGCCTTTTACGACAAGCATAGTCGCCTTTTACGGCAAGGAAGGGTTCCTGAAGACCTACTCTACCCCGGATCTTCACGGGTGTGGTCTTGTTGAACCAAGCCATGGCGTGATTTATCAGTTAAAAATGGTGTCTACACAGGCGCTTGTATTCACGAGTGATGGACGAACGGGGATACGGAGTTTTGACAGAATCCATCGGGTTTCACATCCCTTGATGAGTCTCCTGCACAATGTGGAAGATTGATACATAGCACTATACTAAATCAGCACTACTGATACGGCTATGATCTAGCCATCAACATTGATTCCTGGTTCTGTCGTTACGCTTACAAAGCAGACATTTCATAAACAACACGTTTCCCGTTTAAACATCAAATAAATCACTGCATGTCTTCTACACAATCATCATCAACATGACGGGAGAACATCGTATATCAGTCAGGACAGATTCCCTATATGGAAATAGACCTATATATTAGACCAGTATATTAGACCGGTATATTAGACCAGTATATTAAGACCGGTATATTGGGCTGGTATATTAGACCAGTATATTAAGACCGGTATATTGGGCCGGTATATAAGACCAGTATATTAGACTGGTATATATTAGACCAGTATATTATACCGGTATATTATACCAGTATATTAGACCCGTTTATTAGACTGTTATACTAGACCGGTATATTAGACCGGTATATGAGACCAGTATATTAACCCGATATATTAGACCAGTATATGAGACCGGTATACAAGTCCGGTATATTAGACCGGTATATTCGACACAAGGTTCAACATTCATCATTAGCATGAGGAAGATTGCCATCATCCACACATTGTAGCTACAGCTGATATCTAAGCGACTTTGCCTCATTACGAAAACATCACCTTAAAACATTTTTTTCTAACTGAGATAAATATTGACAATGCCCTAATTGCATAAACCTGGCTGAAAATATAACTCTTCTTACTCATTGTAGGGAACTTATCATCACCCGCAAGAAGTGTCACCTAACTTAAAGAATGTCAATAAAGAATATATTAAAACTAACATTCTGATATATACTCAGCGTCATTATTAAATGGTCACCAAGGCATAAAGGGAGTCAAACATGAACATGCCAACAAGCGTCAACAGGTCTGAGTATGTTGACAGTGTGGTTAACAGTTGAAGAACAGGTTGTTAATGCCGTTGTCACACAGATTGGATGCTTTCATAAAACTGGAAAAACGGATGACTATTAAAACAATGAAAATGCAAGGTTTATACATGGAATAAGATACCAAAATCATGTCTCCAAACGCAACCAGTGGCTTAGCCCATGCACGTGGTACAATACATGAAAATAATGGTTCATTCCAGATGCAACTGAACTCCACTCTTGGAAGTTGAATATGTAACATTTTCTGCATAACCCCTCAATAATGACGCTGACTATAACTAATGTAACACACTATTTCAAAAACAATCCAGAAAAAAAACCTCACAAATCTAGACATTTCAGATGTGATGAAATATATTTTCAAAGTAAGACGATTCCTACTTCAGATCCTTAAGAATTCCAAAACGACAAATATGTTAACACGCTACTTCTACCCACTTCCCCGTCAGCCGTTGGTACAGTCTCCATGGAGACAAGAAACAGCCAAAACACTGTGGAGATAAGCCCATCAGTACAGATAAAAAAATATTTTCACAATCCTCGACCTATCAACATGTTAACCATGTTAACATATCATGGAACAAAAAACATGCAGGAAGTTAATCCAAAGTGTCAAGCATCAGCTCTTATGTCAAGAAGCTGAACGCTTCTCAGCTACGTAACCAACAATCTCATGACAAGAGTCTTCAACATGCTGTGAAAGCTCACACCTCAAAATAACAAACGAAACTACAACAGCCAGCTTCACGGTTCCGGTAAATATCACATGAACGTCACATGTTTGAACTGCGGCGGACCAATTTCTTGATATTCCGGGTTATTATCATCTTCATCTTTGGACTTGGAGAAGCCATTGTTCCCTTCCAGGGCAGGACAGAGTTGTTTCCCCTTACCAGCCTCATCTTCGTTTTCACTGACATCCGACTGATCCGCATCCTCCTCCCCTGGCCGATACCCGAGGTTTGATCCGTAACACAAGCCCGGCATTAAAGGATGGGTGATCCCAGGGTAGCCGGTGTACCCTCGTAGAACGCCATGAGGCGGGAACCTCTCCATGGAGTAATGCTGAGCCGGGTACCTTTCGGTAACAAAGCTGTCGCTATGGTAACCTTCCCCCGAGTACCTCTCATAGTTCTCTCCCGAGCACCTCTCGCTGGTGTAGCCGTCCGTGGGGTAGTTGTCGGGTTGGAGGCTCTCGCTTGGGTAGCTGTAACAGTGGCAGGCCTGGGGGTGCTCGTGGAGGGAGTAGGTCTGGTAGTACGACGACACTGGGGTGGACTGGGTTCCTGCCGCACTGGCCGTCACCCCCGAGCTGGGGTAGCCCTCGTCCTTGTTGGGCCAGCACTGGTCAGTGTAGGCTTGGTAGCTGAAGGGGGGGAAATGCTGACCGATGTACTGACGCTGAGGTATTGGGCGGAGCGGGTAGTACTCCTGGGATCCCACTCGACTTGGCTTCAGTTCCTGTCGGGGTGCTGAAAGCAGATATTTTTCAGCAAATATTGTTTTTGAAGGAAAGTATCAAGCAACTGATTTGAAGAGCTTTCCAACAACTTACAGGTTTGCCTCAGGCAAAATGTTTTGAGAATTTTCTTGTACATTATGACTAGAGGTAGGAGGAAGATTTAAAAAAAGCATTGGTTTGTGGGCACCTCACACCCCCCCCCAAAACCCCGGAAATTATAGTACAAAAAACCCCAGAAAAACAAAACCATATTTCAAAAGGCCTTATTTTATTCCAAACAGACTTCTTTTGGAGATAACTATTTCTATTACTTTAGGACAGGTATGTTGGTGTAAGAAATTATACAAATTAGCCTTGTATTAATACAAGTACTACTTTGTTGACACATCTAAACCAGCACACATGTAACCATGGTAACACAAGAGATAACATGTCAGGCGTTCTCTCACAACCCACCTGGTGTCTGCAAAGGATGGGAAGCCTGAGTGTTGGGCAAGGCAGAGCTGGCGGAGTTGCCTCCCCTTCTTGAGCTTCTGGAGGATTTGCGGCGCACGTAGAACGTGACGAGGGCAATCACCGTGATGAGCATGAGGATAACTACAGCTGCGATGACGATGAGGATGATGATGTAGGCATCTACGTTGTGGAACACACCAGGCACCTCCTTGATGCGGTCCTCTAGGGGAGCTGCAGATCTCATCATATTAGACACGTAGCCAATATCACATGAACATCAATTTCACTGCCTTGAAGAAGTACAATATTTGTTATCAGTAGTTAATCGGAGTTTCACATTGCACAGAAATGTACGTCCAGTACTCACAAACATATAAAATGATGCAGTATCACTGTACCCTTTTCATAACAAGAAAAATAAAAGTCCTGTAATTAAAGTAATTATCAAATCTTACAGTACACTGCACCATTTCAGTATATTACAAGAACCTCATACTTCCTGTCAGGACAACATTGATTATTGGGGGTCCCCTTGAACCTTAGTTTTGTAGGTCAAGGTCGAGGCCTGAGTTTATATAAATCAAATAAATAAATACATGTTACACACTATCATCAAGTCATGTATCCTAGCGTAATCATACATCAGAGCTCACAGTGAGATAGATTTAAGAAAAAGTATATATATAACAGCCAGCAGGTAAAGACCTGACCCTGTAGCCATACCCACATGTATCTCCGGCACCCCTAGCCAAGCCACATGTATCTCAAGCAACCCCTAGCTGAGCCACATGTATCTCCAGCACCCCCTAGTCGAGCCACATGTATCTCCAGCACCCCTAGCCGAGCCACATATATCTCCAGCACCCCCTAGCCGAGCCACATGTACCTCCAGCACCCCCTAGCTGAGCCACATGTACCTCCAGCACCCCTAGCCGAGCCACATGTATCTCCAGTACCCCCTAGCTGAGCCACATGTACCTCCAGCACCCCTAGCCGAGCCACATGTATCTCCAGCACCCCCTAGCTGAGCCACATGTACCTCCAGCACCCCTAGCCGAGCCACATGTATCTCCAGCACCCCCTAGCCGAGCCACATGTATCTCCAGCACCCCCTAGCTGAGCCACATATACCTCCAGCACCCCTAGCTGAGCCACATGTATCTCCAGTACCCCTAGCCAAGCCACATGTATCTCCAGCACCCCCTAGCTGAGCCACATATACCTCCAGCACCCCTAGCTGAGCCACATGTATCTCCAGTACCCCTAGCCGAGCCACATGTATCTCCAGCACCCCCTAGCCGAGCCACATGTATCTCCAGCACCCCCTAGCCGAGCCACATGTATCTCCAGCACCCCCTAGCCGAGCCACATGTATCTCCAGCTCCCCCTAGCTGAGCCACATATACCTCCAGCACCCCCTAGCCGAGCAACATGTATCTCCAGCACCCCCTAGCTGAGCCACATGTATCTCCAGTACCCCCTAGCTGACCCACATGTATCTCCAGTACCCCCTAGCCGAGCCACATGTATCTCCAGCACCCCCTAGCTGAGCCACATGTATCTCCAGTACCCCTAGCCAAGCCACATGTATCTCCAGCACCCCTAGCCAAGCCACATGTATCTCCAGTACCCCTAGCCAAGCCACATGTATCTCCAGCACCCCCTAGCCAAGCCACATGTATCTCCAGTACCCCTAGCCAAGCCACATGTATCTCCAGCACCCCTAGCTGAGCCACATGTATCTCCAGCACCCCCTAGCCAAGCCACATGTATCTCCAGTACCCCTAGCCAAGCCACATGTATCTCCAGCACCCCTAGCCGAGCCACATGTATCTCCAGTACCCCCTAGCTGACCCACATGTATCTCCAGTACCCCCTAGCTGACCCACATGTATCTCCAGTACCCCCTAGCCGAGCCACATGTATCTCCAGTACCCCCTAGCCGAGCCACATGTATCTCCAGCACCCCCTAGCTGACCCACATATATCTCCAGCACCCCTAGCCGAGCCACATATATCTCCAGCACCCCTAGCCGAGCCACATATATCTCCAGCACCCCTAGCCGAGCCACATATATCTCCAGCACCCCTAGCCGAGCCACATATATCTCCAGCACCCCTAGCCGAGCCACATATATCTCCTGCACCCCCTAGCCGAGCCACATATATCTCCTGCACCCCCTAGCCGAGCCACATATATCTCCAGCACCCCTAGCCGAGCCACATATATCTCCAGCACCCCCTAGCCGAGTCACATGTATCTCCAGCACCCCCTAGCCGAGCCACATATATCTCCAGCACCCCTAGCCGAGCCACATATATCTCCAGCACCCCCTAGCTGAGTCACATGTATCTCCAGTACCCCCTCGACAAGCCACATGTATCTCCAGCACCCCTAGCCGAGCCACATGTATCCCCTGCACCCCTAGCCGAGCCACATATATCTCCAGCACCCCTAGCTGAGCCACATGTATCTCCAGCACCCCTAGCTGAGCCACATGTATCTCCAGCACCCCCTAGCTGAGTCACATGTATCTCCAGTACCCCCTAGCCGAGCCACATATATCTCCAGCACCCCCTAGCCGAGCCACATGTATCCCCTGCACCCCTAGCCGAGCCACATATATCTCCAGCACCCCCTAGCCGAGCCACATGTATCTCCAGCACCCCTAGCTGAGCCACATGTATCCCCTGCACCCCTAGCCGACCCACATGTATCTCCAGCACCCCCTAGCCGAGCCACATGGACGAAACAAGTGATATTCCTGGCACTGCTAATTAATCTCCTAAAAGCCAGTACTGTCTGACCAGGCCACACACTGCCTCTGTGGTGTAGTGGAAAGTGGACAGAGGATATGCAGAGATCGATTTAGCTGCATAAAACATGCTCTAGTGCAAGTGTGGGAAATGAGGGCTTTCTAATTGCCATGTTTAAATTGAGAATAAGAAAATGTCATATTCAGTCAGTTTCCCTGACATCAACAAAAGCTCATCTTTGGTCGTGTATACAATCATTGAAGGTTATAATGCAATGTTGGTTTGTTGTTTATCGCCGCACTCGGCAATATTCCAGCTATATGACAGCAGTCTGTAAATAATGGAGTCTGGTCCAGACAATCCAGTGATTGATATCATGAGCATTGGTCCACGCAATTGGGATACGATGACATGCATCAACTAAGTCAACGAGTCTGACCATCCGATCTGGTTAGTCGCCTCTTACGACAAGCATAGTCGCCTTTTACGGCACGCATGGGTTGCTGAAGACCTATTCTACCCTGGACCTTCCCTGGTCTGATGCAGTGTAACCTTACCTTACCTAATATTAAATCCAAACAAACAAAATGTAGAATTACTTTGGAATCAGATTATTTCATATGTTCCCCAATATACTATACTACGTCCCTGATATTGCTGGAATATTGCTAAAAGCAGCGAAAAGACATACTCATTCACTAACTACGTCCATTTAAAAGTGATATTGCTGAAACTCACCATCAGGATTCTTTGTGTATACTTGTAGCAAGAACAACACAAGGTCTCTCTGGTAGGAAACAAAGCCACGATTCAGATCCATCTTCAATGTTCTCCCTACTGAGCACACCTCCATGGGCGGGGCCTTGTGGCAGCTGAAGGACCCCAGCTCCTTCTTCCGCGACGTGCTGTCCGAGGCCACATCGTACAGTGTGAGAGAAGCATAGCAGTTGCCCTGGAAGTCGAGATCTTCAATCTCCATACACACTCGATCTTGGTCATCAGGACTTGCGGAGGTGAAGATGATCTCACACTCCGCCTGCAGGTCGGACGAGGGACCTCGCTGTGAACCTATGACTATTATCTCCCCTGAATCCAGCATGTGGGTTTGTCCACAGTTCTTGTCGGCCTCTATGTACACTGGAACAAAGCAGAGCGTATTGAGGACCATTCACTGCATTCAGCAAAATTCCAGCTGCATGACGGGGGACTGTAAATAACTGAATCTGGACCGGACAATCCAGTGATTGTTATTATCAGCAATGATCAACGCCACCAAGTCTGACCACCGCATCCATTAAGTCACCTTGTACAAGTACAAGTTGCTGGGTGCTATTCTAATTCAACATCCCAATGGGACTCGCTCAATCACTGCATTGAAACACACAGCTTCAGTAGCAGAGAAATTAGTGATGTCATTTGATTGTGACATCATGGTAACCATTGTCATCATAATGACCAGCAAAGCATTGTGATGCAATTAAGAATTGACCTTCACTTTGTGTGAGTTCATTGGAGTATGAACTTTCATAGGGTGAGGGCCAAACTATGAATGTCGGAGTTTGTCGCGACTTTCATACAATGTTGTCAAACGGACACTAAGGTAAATCTGTAGATTGTTGTAGACTGTCATTGTCAGCCTACACAGATCGAATCGATGCTACGATAGCTAGGAAGTGCATTTCTTCGTTTTGTACATTAGGAGGGGTCGTAGCAAGGATATTCTTGAACAATCATGCAGTCAAAACTCTCTGACGTTTCTCAATGTATACTGAAATGCTGAGTTCAAGATTAAAGGTTCTAAATGTTTAGAAATGTGCTTCTGTAGGTATTCGTGCTAGGGATTTCCCAGGGGCTTCCCCGGGAATGTGGAAGTAGTCCGTCAGTGTTTACGTCATTTCAAGAACACTGTCTCGTGAAAAACGTATGAACGTCAAATTGTATCGTTCATACACTTATGATCGACAATTTCGCGGTCATGTGACCGACCTCTCATCCAATGGAAAAGCTGTATATCTTGTAAACTTCAAATTAAAAAATTATTTTCATTTGAGCGACATCTCCTTGGAGATATTGCTTGATCTCACCAAAGCCATATCTCCTGTGGAAGCCAGTTTTAGATGATAAAATGTAACACCATATCACAAGGACCCAGTTGACAGTATTGATGCAATATACATGTAGTAAATATAGTTTCAAAATGTATCTAAAGAGTGAAAGATAATTTGAACAATTTCAGTGCAGAGTTCACTGAATAGTGGATTCTGTCTAAACCGGAACTGACGGGGAACAAGATTTAAATCTGGTATGGATATCATCTTATATAAACTACTGCGGTAAAATATAAATTTACCGAAAAAGACTTGATATTGTCAATCATGTCAATTGCCGAAGACGAAAAGCCACCTCTTTCGTTATATCTTAAATGTCCACAAAGAAATTCATGCATAAATGTGTCACCACTCACCAGTGATATGAAATGTGTGGATTTCTTTCGGAGGTTTTCACATATTTTCTCAAAGTTACTTCTCAGATATTTATTGATGATTGATCAATATTTTGTTAATGATTATTGATCGCTATGATCTGTAATGATAGCCAGCACTATCTTGTACACACCTTTCCTGTTGGTGAGGCCACAGCAGATGCCGGTACAGAATGCCACCACGACGTGACAGAGGGTTGAGCCCTTCATTGTGCTGGTGCAGTCCAGTGCTGTCTGTGTTAAGATGGGCTGACAGCCAGGTGTCTATTGTGTCTGTGCATCATCGTGCTGAGACTGCAGGAAAACAAACATTGAACACATACATTATATAGAAACACTTTAAGGCCAGTCACGTTACACTTAATGTTCAGTCTCATTTGATCAGGAACCTTAATCTTCCGGTTATACAGATCGATTCATCAACATATCACGTGACTAACCATGGGTCCGGGTAGTCCTGTGGGTACCCGTCTCCTACTCAGGACCCACACGACCCAAGTTACCCATCCCAGCCCTATTGTTCTTTACAGTTGTAATAAGTGTTTCCCTAAATTGTCTTCCTTTGAATATAGGTTTAATAGATAGCACATGTTACTTGGAGTGTTAAGATGGGCTGACAGCCAGGTGTCTATTGTGTCTGTGCATCATCGTGCTGAGACTGCATTAAAATAAACATTGAACACATACATTATATAGAAACACTTGAAAGCCAGTCACGTTTCACTTCAATGTTCAGTCTCATTTGATCAGGAACCTTAATCTTCCGGTTATACAGATAACAACATTTCATCGATGATCCCATTCGGTGCTCTCACGCCATGCTGAGGTTTTACTTCAGTGGTGTCATAGTTCAAGGACATTGAGGTGTCACTCACAGTTACATCTGCTGTGGGTGTAAGTACCCACTGCAAGTTTCAAGGGTTCGGAACCAGAGACCATATATCGGTATGGTCTCTGTCGGAACAAAATGTCAAAAAGTCAAAAGGAATGTGTGCATCATCAGAACCACTGAGCTATAAGTTTTTGTCATTTAACAATATATCAAGTGACTAACCATGGGTCTGCCATGGGTAGTCCTGTGGGTACCTGGGTCCTACTCAGAACCCACACGACCCGAGTTACCCATCTCAGCCCTATTGTTCTGTACGGTTTTAATAAGTGTTTCCCTAAATTGTCTTTCTTTGAAAATAGGTTGAATAGATAGCACATGTTACTTGGAGTGTTCATGCAGGTTCACAGGCCAATTCGCTCTCCCAGTTGGACACGGTCTTCTAATAGGCGGACCGGGTGAACGGGCTATCCCTTCTCTGACTGAGGCATGTACTGAGTCTTATTTTGTGAATTATCTATTTATGCAATAACATGAAGAACGAATAATCGACAGATAAAAAATAGTAAGATACTTCATAGCGTGTGTTAACCCGCTTCTGTTGTGATCTACTGTCTCGAAATATCAGTACTGTGCACAAACTGAACACTTTTTCAAGGAAAACGATAGATCGAAAAGTGAACAATTCTTCATGTAAGCATTATTGCACATTACAAACTGAATCGACGATCGATTTTAGAGGAACATCGGCAGAAATGTTAAAAAACAGACATCATATATGACGCAAAGTGAAGAATATAACCTACATTCCTGAAAACAGTTGCTTCACATTTTGGTTTTCTCAAAGGAAATACGAGCAGACAGATATGTGCGCATGCGTCCTAAGCCCCAGTTGATAAAAAGCGGACAGAACAACAATTATCAGAAACCGGACGTTACTACACAAGGCTCTCTGTGTAGATTGACTCAACACGTATATAATCCGGCGGACTTAATTTCTGTATTTCAACATTGACCCTTTTTATGTGTTTGAGTTAAAACTGAACAATAAATTAATTCATGTTGTTGTCTAAGATTATTAACATTCAAAGTACACCTATTTGTTATGACGTCATTCAGCTCCGCATTGACAATAACACATTGTTTATAGTGTAAATTACTATGTTACACGTTATATTTCTGAATGCGTCGCCTCGACAATGAGTGAATAGTTAATTTACGCCACTTTTAGCTGTATTCCAGAAATATCACAGCAGGGGAGACTCGAAATTTTCACACAGATTGTACCCTGGTCTTTGTGGAGTGACGAGCTTTTACGCTTTAACCCCGCCCCACCGATTGAACCAAGTCAGCGAGCCGGACCACCCGATCCCGTCAGTCGCCTTTTACGACAAGCATAGTCGCCTTTTACGGCAAGCATGGGTTGCTGATGACCTATTCCATCCCGGATCTTCACGGTGGCTTGCCGTTGTATACAACACCAAACATAACTTCATTTACTTCAAAATAAAATAATGTAAGACCACGTCTTTCAAAGTATGTTTCTTTCTGCTCGTTTTTAGACGTAGTATATATGTTCATTTATTCTGGCTAGATTTGTCATTACTCGCCAACAGCGGAAGGGATGATGTAAATCCGGCTGGGGTCCATGCAGGTAGCAAAAGTACTGTAAGTCCCCATGGACCCTAGCATGGTGATCTACCTTCCGCTGTTGGCGATCCATAGCCCTTTTTTATATTGTACCGTTATATATATTGATATCTTTTATAGTTGTATGCTAGTTTTAAATATTAATCTGTGATATTCTAGTAATTTTACTGTCCATCGATGACAGGTTTTAATTTAGTTAAAACATATGTCTTAATAAATGAAATTTCTCGTCACGATATGGCTGAAATATTGCCGATGTGACGTAAAGCTTAAACTCACTCACTCACTCACTCACACAAAATAACATAACAAAATACAAAACATTAACAAAAGGTAAATGGCAAGTGACTTCTAAATTACACTAGAAATATTAGCACAACATATTTAGTATACTGTAACTTTACCATATGAATTAAGTGACTGAAATATATAGGCCTACAACAGTTATAATTACTGACTATGGACTGAACAATATGGCTTCCCAAGCATGAATAAATGTTACATAAAGTTGGTGTTGTAGTTGTTGCATGTTTCTCATCATTGGAAGTATCTCATTAAAATCAGATTGTTTAGTTCGATATGTACAAAAGCCTTTTGGGGTCAAAATTGAAATGTGGAAAAGTCGTTATAACGGAAAAAAGATTCGTTATTACTGAACTAATTTCGTTTTAACGGAAAAAAGTGTGTTATATACTCAAATCCCTAACTAAGACTCAGGAGATTACCAAGACCTACTGGATTGGGGTTTTCTGACCGTGGTCGGGCTTTCCTCCCACATAAAGCTGACACGCCGTGATATGACTGGAATAATGTTAAAAGCGGCGTTAAACCCAAGTCACTCACTCACTCTGACCATGGTACGGCTGGTCTTTTAACCTGGCAATTCTGTTGTCAATCTCGCGGTAGACACGCTTCCGGTGCGGCTCCAAAGTCGAGCTGGAGAATTTACTTCTTTCCGCCTGTTCAATGTGTCTGATAACTTCAATGAAACGGAATATGTTGGGTATTTTTTATGGGGACCTTTACAATCAGCGTGAGGGGGCAGCTTCAAATTTACACGCAAACGCTTTCTTAGTTTGATCAAGATCGAATCTTGAGAATTTATATAGTTTTTGTTTGTTTGCTGTTTAACACCGCACCCAGCAATATTTCAGCTATATGACGGACACCATTGATGTTTACGCAATTGGGGTACGATGACATGTATCAACCAAGTCAGTGAGCCTGACCACCCGACCCCGATAGTCGCCTTTTACGACAAACATAGTCGCCTTTTACGGCAAGCATGGGTTGCTGAAGATATATTTTGTTTGTCTACTCGGATCTTGACGAGTGTGAAAGTTTTAAATTAGATTGCATTTTTACGCAAGTATCCTTAGTATGTGTTGTAACTTTTAGAAGATGTCGTGGCCCACATAGAGGTCTGAGTCCCCACCAGCCTGTGTTGTCAATTGGCTCTATAAAGGAGGCGACAGACCATAGCAACTGGTTCTGGGTATCTACCACAGGCTGAAGATAACCGACGCACATTAAAATAGCAGTGCAGAGATGCACCAGTGTTGGCGCCATAAAGTCATATATATTTAATGAGTTATAATGTGTAACGTCGCGACTAAACCATTTCAGTAATCATAGGGAATCATAAAGAATCACTGCTAAAAGCAAAGTCCATTGTTCCATTCCGACTATATCATAATTAAGCACGTGTTGTTAATCACTACAATGATGCTACCAGGTGTTCTTGATAATGTGAGCGTATCCTGCCCCAACGGTGGCAACCCGTCACAAAACATACAAGAAAAATCAATTGTTCACCTGAAAAAGGTGAGGTGAGGTGAAATGGGGTTTAACGTCGCGTCCAATATTATTGCACTTATATAGCGACGTGCATGCACGTGTGTGTGTTTGTGTAGCTGCTTGTACTAGTCCGGACTGATGCCGATTTATAGTGCTAGCTCACTGAGATATCATGCCGCAGTTTAACATGAATACCCCACTCAGACACAGTATACTGACTCCGAGCCGACCAGTCCTTGTTTTAGCCCCTTAATGCCGAGCGCCAGACAAGGTAACAACAAGTACCATCTTTTAACGTCTTTTCGTATGACGCGGCCGGGGATCGAAACCCGGACCTGCCGCTCTCCGGGCGGACGCTCTACCATTAGACCACGGAGGCGGTCTCACCTGAAAAGACATATGATACATGTCACAGTACATTGTTCATCGGACATACGTTTGGTCACTGATGCGTCAAATTTGGAAATGTCCTCCACATGTCTACCATAAAACCTTTTGAAAGCTTTGATATTAAAGCCTTGGAGGTTTTAACCCTGAACAAGCAGCTGTTGAGCAAGAGTCTCACAACGCTCTCCGAAGTCTTAGAAAGAGAGTGCTCGAATATTGTCCCACATAAAGGGAGAGTTGACTATTGGAAAGTTGAATAATATATGTATCCGCTGTAGAATAGTTGTTCTACCTGTTTCTTCTTGAATTGATAACACAAATACGTCTGCAGGTCCACGACGTTTTGTTGTCAGCTGTTCCCTCTGCGGTTAGTGAGTGAGTGAGTGAGGTTTAACACCGCTTTTAACAGTATTCCAGTTATATCACGGCGTGTCAGCTTAATCTGGGAGGAAAGCCCGAAGTGATGCAGGTCTCAGACGTTTACCACTTCTGTGAAACCCACGAGCACGGGTATGGTGCTGACAAACGTACAAACATAATTGGGGTGAACCGGGATTCGAACCCACAATCCTAGGTTTCTGGCGTGCCCAAGGGCCGCAACTCTGCAGAGCGAATCGCGGCGCCTTAGACGACTGGGCCACCCGTGCCCCCTCCGCGGTTAGTGCTCAACTCAGTGCTCCTAACACCCCAGCTCGCGGTGATGTACATACAATGTACTAATAGCTTCCCAGCTAACACATAACATTTTCAAAACATTTTCTAAAGGTTTCATTGTAGTTTTTCAAAAAATGTTTTACAACTTTACAACTGTTTTCAAATTGTTATTGACATGTTTTCAAATGTTATTCAAGTACATCATGCTATAACATAGGCGAAAATATTTCAGAAACACGTTGCAGAAATGTTTTGCCGGAACATATGAATGAAATGTTATCATCATGTTATAAATACATTGTGAACACATATGTAAAATCATCCGAATAAGGTGTAAATGTTTTATAATTATTCAAAATGTTTTTTAAATGTTTTTCAAGAACATTCTCTCACATTTAATTATTTTTCATGACTAGTTATTAAAATGTCTTAAAACGTTTTTGAAAATTACCACAAAATACATGTTTTTGACATGTTCTTAAAACGTTTGTAAAAACTAATATCACACACACGTTTCGAAAACAATTTTCAAATTTTGTGACAAAATGCCTTGTTGTCTCGTGAAATGACATCTCACTATTTTGCACCCGCCATCATCAGTTAAATCGTCGAACTCTGGGGTGCGTTGCAAAGCGCCAATCACTTGCAAGCCATGTACAGTGATCTGCCTTACAACAGTGCACTAACTTTCAGCCGCTTGCAAGCGAAACAATCGCTGGCTGAGGTGGTTTCGTTCTCAACCAAAATGGTGGCTGACTTTGACAGCGGAATAAGAAATTCTTGACTGGATCAACGAGGAAAGGAGTGAGTGAGTATGGTTTTACGCCGCTTTTAGCAATATTCCAGCAATATCGCGGCGGGGGACACCAGAAATGGGCTTCACACATTGTACCTATGTCGGGAATCGAACCCGGGTCTTCGGCGTGACGAGCGAACGCTTTAACCACTAGGCTACCCGACCGCCCCAACGAGGAAAGGAACAAAGGCAGCTAACACACCATCATCCTCAGCCTGCCCCACATTTTCAAAATAGTCATAAATTTCATCAGCTCGTCATCGAGCCTCTTCTATTACGTTCTTCATTACGTCAAAGCAACCAAGCGGTAGTTGCGCCGCCATTTTGGAAGATTGTGCAAGCGCTTCGATTAATTTGCTTTCTCTAAGCGATTCGTAGCTTGCAGCGGCCCGATTTCTTAGGGGTAAGTTCATTTTTAAAAGCGGTATCCGCTTATCTAAAGCCCCTTTTACACAGGGCTGCGACCTTTGTGCCACCTTTGAGCGATCAAAAACTGGCCAGGACGTTCAATGGTCGCCTAAACCCCAAAAATTATGTTTCTATGTAACTGCTCCAGCAGTTGTTCAGCAGTAACTGCTCGAGTTGTCCAGCTTCTGCAATCA